GCAGTCAAACAGTCAGTGCTAAAAATTCCTCCACACATGCCAAGAGAAACTTCCTTTGAGAGAGTTTCTAAGAAGCTGTTTCAAGACCTCTTGAAGCATGTGACAGGACATCACACTCAGATGGATATCTTCACCTTCTGTTATTGCTGTGGCCTCCTTTTAATCCTTTTAGCATCCTGCTGAAATGACGTTTATAAACAGAAGTTTGGGAATGGATCAACAACAATACTGTCAAATATCTAAGTCAACAGTTTAAATCCTTCGTCTACTTCCACCTTCTGAATCTGCTGATCCCGCTACGTCCCTGTATCTTCCAAAAGGAGTTTCACACATATGCTAGTTTCTAGGCTGTCATTGCTGGATTGTGTCTTTAAAAAAAAAAATTTTTTTTTTTTTTTACTGTTGTCAGGAATTTAAGGCAAGTAAAGTGAGTTTTCTAGGCAAGTAAAGATGACAAATGACTTCTTAATAAATAATTGATACATGCTCTCTGACTTAACTCTTTGTGTCCAAGTAAATATCAGAGACTAAATTTCCTTCTAACTTTTCCTCTCTTGTAAAAGTCTAACAAACCAAAACATTTTACACACATCTATTCCAAATCTCTACTGTTAGCATTATCATTTCTAAAGGTTTGGGTTATATGAATTATATTTATATAGTAATATCTTTATACTATGGATTTCATAAAGACTTATTTATGTAGGATGAATATGGTATTAAATATAGTTCCATTCTTAGACCTGGATATCAATGTCAGCATGAATTGAAGAGAAAATTAAATTTAGAAGTTGTGATTAGTTTACCTAAGCTGAAGTTGACTTGTATATGACATGAAAATAGCCTTTAAAATATAATAAGGAAAAGTTTAACATTCTTATAATAATCAAATATATGTCAATAACTACAAAGTAGTCTCATCTATTCATTAGGTCAGATAATGGGGGGTTTTTACTTGAAAACACCAGTAAGAACTATTCTGTTTGTATGACAGGAATTGAACCTTTTTTTCCTGTTTTCTTTTTGTTTGTTTATTTGTTTGTTTGTTTGTTTCACTAAGTCAAATTGGAATTCCTCCACTTAGCTTTTATAGTGAGGTTTCAGAATACAGCAATTTCTCTTTTCTATTTCTTTAAAATAAAATTACCATTCAGACTCTGTATTAATTACTATTAAGGAATATCCCATGCCTGAAAAAGTTGGCTTTTGCAGACATGCTTTCAAGTAGTACCATTAATAGTTTCAATCCACAAAATCTTGTCAGCTCCTCTCCAAATTCCAAACCCATCTCTGTTCCATAAAACAAGCAAAAATGGGTTTAGGGGTATAACAGTCTATGAGAGTACCACTGTGTTCATCCCATTTGGTTGGCAGAATAAGGTAGCATAAAATGCCAACACTCAATGATCTAAATTAATTGTGGGCAGGGGAGGGCCTGGGCTGGCTGCAGGTCAGTTCTCCAAATTAGTTATATTCATACATCTTTCCTTTAAGCTGCTTCTCTGCAGTTTTCAGAATAAGATGACAAGGTAGACAAAGAGATTCAGAAGGTAATAAAGTTAGCTTACAAAACAAAAACAAAAACAGGCAATCCTTCTGAAGAGGAAAAAATTTGATTGTGGTGCTATCTTGAAACATGTATTCATTCAAAAGTAACTTAACTTCACTTATTAACTTTGAGAATAAAGGTAACTTTAATTTTCAGTTCTAGATATTCTTAGAATTGCACATTAGAACTGGGGTTCTTAAAGAAAATTTTGGTGAAATTAACTAAATTTTCATATGGCAAAGTCCATACTGGCAGCTCAATAAATTTCTATGAAGCTTCATAAAGTGGGATTCATTTCTAAAAGAAGTTTTGATATTGTCTCTGCCCAATTATGAAATAAAAGGAAATTCGATTAGATGTAATTGGTAATAGTTCATCCATTTGTCCACTGGACCCAAGTTCCAGGACATTTAATTGTTTGGTTTGCAGTCTCTTCTCCTAAAATAATTGAGTGAGAGGAAGAGAGAAATCCCTCCCTCCTCACACACACCCAGTTTTTTCCCTTTATCCTGTAGCCCCTTCCCAAGGATTTGAATCAAAACCTGACTTTAGTGAAGTGTTGATGTCCTGGTGTTTTGAATGGCTGGAGGAGGTTTAAATGGAGTTGTGTTTTATCTTCCACATCAGCATTGAAACAAGAGGGGATCTCACCAGACTGAGAAGTACCACCTGTCTATGAATGACAGCATTTCAGATCCACAGAAAACGTTAGAGGGCTCCAGTGGTTGGGCATGTTTCATAACTGCGGGCTGTATATTTCTTCCTTCACTTTGGATTTGGGGAGAGGGGACGCTTTCTTGCCCAAATTCAAGAATGATGTTTATTGGCCCAATGCCCTGTGTTCCTTTTAACTCCCGTGCAGACAATAAATACCCTTACTTGGCTTTGGCAAGGTTTCGAAAAATTGTTTCAAGTAAGAGAGATCGAAAAATGTGAACAGAAAGCAACCTTAGGCAACTGGAATCACAGTCTCTGCATTTTCTTCGTTCAAAATGTGGGATATCGCTGCTCCTAGCATCCTTTACAAAAAGAATTAACATTTTGCTGGGCCTTGTTGGATTGGAAGAGGTTGTCGTTATTGTCTCCGGAAGTTGTGGGGAAATCAGAGTTGTAGTTCCTTGGCCAGAGTGATATAAAAATGTCAAAGTGAGCGGGTAAGGGGAAAGGAAGCGGCTACTGGAAGGTGAGTGAGGACGAGGGTGTTGGCGAGACGTGCGATCCGGTGCTCGCCTCCTGGCGCTGTCTCCGCGCAGCATTGCGGGTCACCTGCCAAGCTGCGGAGTCTGGGCTGCGCGGCAGCGAGCGCGCTCCTTCGACAGATGCTCCGCTGGGAGATGCCCCAACAGGAGGAAGCTGAAGCTGAAGCACAGCCTCTGTGTCCAGGGATGGACAGCGGGACCTAAGCGGAAGGGGCAGTGTGGCCCGCGGGGGTCCGCGCCTGCTGACGGTGATCTTTCTGGGGCGCAACTGCACCGTGGGCCCCTCGGGTCCTGCGGCATCCGGAGACCCGACACAGGCCTGAGAGGGGCGGGGCGGAGCGCGCCTCTCCCCACCAAGCTGGGGTGTACCTCTCGGGGAGTGAGACTGGAACCTGCACGCCCACTTCCCCGCATTCGGAGGGAGCACTGTGGCTCTTCAGATGACAGCTCTCTCGTTAGCCTCCAGAGGAAAAACAGATAAACGACTGTTGACCTCTGAAACTCCTGGAAGGTAGGGTTGGGGTAGGAACGAGAGGGGCGCTCTGCCTCACCTGTGCACCTAGATGGTCCGAGGCTCCAGAAGCCAGCAGAGCTCAGCTCGACCTCTAAAAGAAGAGGATCGGTGAAACTGGATTAAGGGGTGCCTTTATTATTTTTTTTTTTTTTAATTTTCTCTCAGATACATCATAGTTGATGAAAGAAACTCTCCAATCGCTCGGGCGGGCTCACAACCTGAAGCCAATACCCATTTATAATTCCGGCAAAAGCAAAAATTCCACCCCCAAACAATTTGCTTTAAATAGTCACGTGTTAGAGACAACTATATCGGTCAGTGTGCATTTGTTCACAGTTTTAAAGCCTAAGAATCGATGACAGACTTCTTGTTGGGTTTAAACTCAACAATCACTAGATTTCGCTTGCATCAGGAATCCACGATGCCGCTTCCCTGGGTCTGGGCTCTCGATACTCCTAATCTCTGACCCCCGGACCCCAAGTCTGACCCACCACTATCCTGAAACATCCTTTTGCTACCTGACTGGCCATATAGAGAGCCTTTCTCAATTCATTCCTAAACTTGTGAAACGGAGGACTCCACTGTGACAGCCGCTCAGGGGACTGGGAATAGTAGTGCTTGGGGAGGGTGGGGAGCATCTAGCATCGCAGGAAGCAGGTGAGAGCCAGGAATACTCTCAGGGCAGGAAAAAGAATGGCGATGCATGTCTCACAATTGTGATCCTCCTTCACCTCTCTGAAATGAAATAGAAAATCGCAGCTGCTGCATAAAGCGCTGAAGAGGCAGAGAGAGAGACCTCGCTGACCTCCCTGAAGTTACTAGGATGACTCTAGCAGATGAAGAGTCCTTGTCTCAGAGTTACGGACACTTCACAGGACGCCGTTGTGGAGACGCGGGGCGGCCCGGGGACTGGGTAAGGCCTCCTGGACTCCTCGAAAGCAGCTCGAACCGGAAGGAGCCAGAGGCGGGGCGTGAGCAACTGGGACCAAGCGGGTTCGGGTGGAGCACATCAAAGAGAAAGGGGCGGGATCGGACCAAGGAGAGGTAGAAGAGATCCGCCGCCCCCCCCCCCCCCCAATAGTGGAGTTGAGCAGTGGGAGTTGGCAGAGGGTGGATCAGGTCCGAAGAAGCGTAAGAAGTGGAGCAGGCAACGGTTACAGGCTCCAGTCACTGCCGTTTCCCGCAGAGGGAGCTTCTTGGTGTCCTGGAAGAATCCCCGGACTCCTTAGACCTCCTGTCTGCGAGACCGGGATGTTCTAGGGAATTCCTGGGGATAGCACGGTCGCTCCTAGCACACCACCCAGGAGCCTAGACCAGAAAATCTCCCCACCGCGTCACCCCCGGACGCACACACTCAATCTCCAGAGCGAGGCCGGGTTCTTCCACAGGGTTTTTCCCCACCAAGCATCAACTTTCTTTCTCTTTTCAAATGTAAGAATCTTTATTTCCCCCTCCTTCCTTCTCTGTGCCTCCATCTCTCTTGCTTTAACCTGGGGGAATCTCTACACCTCAAAGCTCCAAGCCTCAGGGCTCAGTCCCCAGGCTGCGAAGTTCTCCGTACCCTTGGCCTTCGGGAAACCTGGGTAACACACCCTCATCTCCTCGGGTCCTCGTCCTTCGCTCTCCATTGGCCCCCCCGTCCCCGCCCCTCATCCTCCCCTCCCCCTCGCTGCCTCGGTGTGGCGTCAGCACGCCCGCCCGGCGTGGGGTTTAAATGCCCACTAGCTGGAGCCGGGGCGCTTCTGTCCCGGAGCGCGGTCGGGGCTGGAATTGCAGGGGTGAAAGGGGAGCGTGAGAGCTAGATCCCGAGCCGCGGAGCGCGCAGCCCCTCGTTCCGCCGCCGATGACACCGGAGCTGGGGTCCAAGCGCCGCCCATGCAGCATCCCTGCGCTCCGCCGGCCGAGAGTTGACGACAAAACTCTAAACCGTCTTCACTGCGGGGAGCCATGAGCTGTTTGGATGTTATGTACCAAGTCTACGGTCCTCACCAGCCCTACTTCACAGCCGCCTACACCCCCTACCACCAGGTACGTGCCCCCTCAGGGTGACGAACCCAGGTTTCTCCGAGCACCGCCTGAACCCCGAGGTCCACGGCGCCTCTGCTCCCGTCCCGGGCATTCGCCCAGCGGCAGGCGCCACCCGGATGTCGGGATTGCCCGCGCTGCCACCCGGTAGATTGAGCTAACCCCTTTAGTTTGCTCTCTCGGAAGGCAGCTAAGCCCTGCTAATGCGTGTCCCGGTTTTGCTAGGAATCATCAGATGAGGATCGCCTGCTGGATTGTTTTCTTAGTGTCTGTTGGGCTCCAGGTTTGTCCGAGCCCAGTGCGGGTGCAGGGAGATGGGAGCAAAGCTCACTCATGGATAACCAAACTTTGGTCCCAACAAAAGCAAAGGCCTGTCTCTAGCTTTCTGTTTGAGATGCAAAAACCCACGTTCTCACCACTGCAAGTTTATCTAAGGCATAATTTTTTCCGTTTCATTTCTCAGGCGATCAAGCCAATTAATTTCAGAACCAGATGGTTCGTTACAGAGAGAACCGCAGGAAACGCATTGGTTTTATTATCTTTGTTTTGCAAAGTTTGGGAGAGGATTATTGGAGTACAATAGACGGGACAGAAGCAAACTTCATAGATAATATTTTACCTTTCAGGAGATGGAGTAGCTGAGTACAGCTGTCCTGCCATCAACAAGCCCACTTTAAATAAGACCCCTTAACCCCGGTTCTGCAAACTCAAGTTTCATTTAATCATTCCTATTTCTCTTTTCTCTGGGCTGTGTCTGATGAGCAGTTCTTTCTGTTTCCACAGCTGATGTAGTGAAAACTAAGGACAGTAGTCCAGGAAAAGACCAAGATCACATCCAGGGGCTGTAGGAGGCTGGACCAGGTTGGAAAGTGAGGGCCTAGACTCCTGCTTTGGGGGGATTAAAATACACCCCAATGCAGGAGTCCACGCTTGCACCGATTTTGCTTGCAAATTCAAAATATCTATTTGGATTTTGTTTTTTCCCTCCTCCTCCTATTTTCACTTCCCAACAAGGAGTTTTAGTCTCCATGTTAATTTTAGGAATCACCAGAGTCCCTCATTGTAAGCCAAGTGGGAATGTTGTGATATTGCTAAATAACTCTTTTGACTTCAGTGTTTGAGATGAGCTCCTTCCCAGGCTGAAACTGTTCAGAGAGGGGAGGTGGGTTAGTTTTCTGTTTGTTCCTTTCTCCTCCTTGGTCTTGGATCAATCTATTATATTAAGATCTCTGTTCATTTTTGTATGGTCAGACCATCTCTGCCTGCATAATTTTTTAACACTACATTCAGTCCATTGCTCATTTCTAAGAACATGCTTTCAGCAGTTGCACTTGGTTTTTTTAAAACACTATCAGATAGTCACCATTTACCAGCTTCACAACCAAGATCTTCCGCTGCTCCTTTTTATTACTTGTTTCCTCAATGTGCACAGAGATGGCAAGGGTGGAAATTCTCGTAACGCATTGGTTTTTCTTTATTCAAAAGATCTCTTTAAAAACTGAGACAGACTCTTAAATGGACAGTGTATGGGCAACCAAATATCCACTTGCTTATTAAAATGATCCATGTCAGGATGTCATTCACCTTTTTACCCCACACGATTCTTTCCTAAGTGGAACTATTTCAAACCTTCTGTGGCACTGCTTAGTTTACAGCCTGGTTGTGTGGAGTGGATTTTCATGTTCCATCATGAGGATGCTTAATCCTGCCTCTTGAGCTTCTGCCCTGGATTCTCAGGCAGAGAACAGTCAGGCCCAAACTGGACAGGGTGCCTTTTACTCTTGAAGGTTGGTTTTTAAAAATACATACAGAGGTAAGCAAAAGTAGTTTTACAGTTGTGAGTATGTGAAATAGAATTTATTCTTGTATTATTTATTAATTCTTGTATTATTTATTTGTATTATGTAAACCTACTTTTGCCCACCCCGGTATATCTGTCGGGAGCCTGACTCTGCAGTCAAACTCAGCTCACAACCTGTTTGCTGAGGAGTCTTCCACAACCTTCACCTTGACAGCTTCAGAGAGCTTTGCCTGTGACCTAACACCAATTCCGGGGTGACAGAGAAATCAGGAAAGGCAGTTTGCCTCTCAATAAGTCCACCCTTGTTCAGCGACAGGTTGTGTAACCCACGTTAATGAGCAGTGGGCTTAAGCACCAATGCCAGTTACCCGGATGGAGACCTTAGGGATCAGATGAGGAAGTGTAGTCTGAACCCAATCTGCCATCTCTTTGGAAACTGACTACTCTATTCATTCTCTCTTTGAGCAGAAACTAGCTTATTACTCCAAAATGCAGGAAGCCCAAGAGTGCAACGCCAGCCCCAGCAACAGCAGCGGCAGCGGTAGCTCCTCTTTTTCCAGCCAAACTCCGGCCAGTATAAAGGAGGAAGAAGGCAGCCCAGAGAAAGAGCGCCCACCAGAGGCGGAATACATCAACTCCCGCTGCGTCCTCTTCACCTATTTCCAGGGGGACATCAGCTCCGTGGTGGACGAACACTTCAGCAGGGCCCTGAGCCAGCCTAGCAGCTATTCCCCAAGCTGTACAAGCAGCAACGCACCGAGGAGCTCCGGGCCCTGGCGAGGTGAGTATGGGACTGTACTGGTAAGGGCCCATAGAGAGACCTCTCAGCCTGGAGTGAGCCCATCTAGAGGGCCTTGAGGAGATGCAGCTGAAAGAATACTAGGTATAAGAGAAGAAGTGAGGAGGAGCATTTGGCAATGGGCAAGGAAATCAGAGGAGGAACAGGCACACACATAAGATCTCTCCTCCAAGAGGCAGAGAAGAGCAGAGCAGTGACCTAGAAAAAAACTCTAGCCTTGGAATTGGAAGGCCTGGGTTGGTGTGTTGGCTCCACTGCTTCCTAGCAATATGACCTTGGGCAAGTCTCTTAACCTCTTGAAGGTCACTTTATTTACTGGTCTCTAAAATTAGAATAATACTTGCCCCTTTAACTATCCGTGGAGATGGCGGTAAGACAAACAGAAAAATGTATGTAAATACACTGTGGAAATGTGAGGTTTCCAACATTCTCCCAGGCCAGGGACAAGGAGGATCTTCACCTACTCCAACTTACAGGGCCTTTACCCAGTTTCTGAAAATTTGAATAGAAGAAAAATCCTAGGTTCCACTGCAAGGAAAACCTGTTGAAGAAAGTCTCCTAAAACCTACCTGTGCCTTTTTTCAGGTTTCATTTACTTGGGAAATCTTGAAGCAGAAAATGTCTTTCAATAAGCAAGTAAAATAACAAAGAAATAAGAATATAGGTACAGCCAAAACATCTCCAAGAGTTTATTCAAAAACACACCCCCCTTTATTGTTCTACCCTTCCCAGAAAGCACTACTTATCTAGTCTGGGACAATGATTTTTTGGACAGGTCAAGTAAATTTCCCTTCTATTCTGAAACCTCAACCTCCCTCTATTACCAAGACAAGGGTAGGGTTAACTATTTGGTAAACTTTCTCACTAAGCTTAGTTTTTGATGTGTACCAAGCTGAGAAATCAGAACTTTGTTGTAAGAAGGAAAACAAATATTACATTTTGGGGGAAATGACAACCCTTATCCTCCCCTCCTTTTTTCTTGAGTATGGCAGTTTGAAAAAACCTTGCCTAGGCAAGCTCCAAAAACATTAGTTTTAAATACAGAACATTCTTTTTATAATCCAGTTGCCTAAATATTTTAATAAGAAGACTGTTCATCACTTAGAATGTATTTATAAAGTATCCTAAAGTCTCTAGTGTGTGTACAGATGCATTCCCCAGAGGTGCTCAATAAAGGCCTCTTAAATTAAATGTCTTTCTTTCCCTCCCTCCTCACAAAAGTCAACAAATTTTATCTAAATGCTGTTCTTTTAAAATGCTTCCAGATTCTAGGGGTCAACAGCGACACTGGCAGTAGTAGTAGTAATAATAATTATTATCATCACTATTATTATTAAAATAAATTGTGTGACATCCACTTTGACGCAGAAAGTTGGTGAATTAAAACTTAAAAGACCTTACCCTTTGCGTCCCTTTGTGCAAATAATACAGCTGCCCTGTTAGTGTGTCAAGTTTACTGTTTTGCCAAAGTTCTTAGAAAAAAATATTTGAAAGAAGGTTTCTAGAAAGGAAACTAATAATAGCAAGACTTCGAAATATGTCGATGGACTTCTAGTCTATCAGAGACACATTATCAATAGCGGGAGAGGCTGAAACGCGAGAAAGGGTAGTGAGATCGTAGGTGGCCAACCAAGAGTGGGAAGAGGTATCTCTGGCGTGAGAAGCTGCAGGTTGGAAAAGGGAGGCCGTGTCTGCCCCGAGGCCGCGGAGGCAGCTCACGTGGAGTTAGGTGAAGCTCCCTGGGTCCCAAAACTGGGGCTTGGGGAGGAGGTTTCTCCTTTTTCCCTCTCCCCACCATTCTCCGAGTTTGCGCACTGGGCACGTTTGCAAAATCTGAGGAAATGGACCTACACCCCATTTTGCGGTTCCCTTACCTTAAATTCCCGGGCGACCTCCCCTTAGAAAGGCGCCGCCCCAAAGGCCAGGCTGCCGATCCGCCCCCAGCCGCTGCTTTCCGACCATTGGCGGGCCCTGCGCTTTCAGCTCCCCTGCGGCGGACTAACGAGGTCCGCGCTGCGTCTGCCGGCGGTGACCAGCTCCTCTATTCCTTTCTCCTCCCCCGGCTCGCCGACCTGCAGACGGCTCCTTCCCGATGAGCCAGCGCAGCTTCCCCGCCTCCTTCTGGAATAGCGCGTACCAGGCGCCGGTGCCCACGCCGCTGAGCAGCCCGCTGGCTGCCGCGCACTCGGAGCTGCCCTTCGCCACAGCCGACCCCTACTCGCCGGCCGCTCTGCACAGCCACCTGCACCAGGGCGCCGCGGAACCCTGGCACCACGCGCACCCGCACCACGCGCACCCGCACCCGCACCAGGCTCATCCGCACCCGCACCACCCCTACGCGCTGGGCGGCGCCCTCGGCGCCCAGGCCACCGCCTACCCGCGGCCCGCTGCGGTGCACGAGGTCTACGCGCCGCACTTCGATCCGCGCTACGGACCGCTGCTGATGCCCGCAGCCTCGGGGCGCCCTGCGCGCCTCGCGCTCGCCCCGGCACCCGCGCCTGGTAGCCCACCCTGCGAGCTCTCGGCCAAGGGTGAGCCGACCGGCGCCGCGTGGGCCGCGCCGGGGGGACCCTTCGCTGGCCCCGCGGGAGACGTGGCCCAGGGTTTGAGCCTCAGCGTGGACTCAGGTAAGCAAGAGAGCGAGCTTGGCCGACCCACGCCCCTCCTGCCCTGTGCCCCACCCTGGGCTGAGCCCTGGACCCCCTGTAGTTCTTCTTGGAGACCCCAGTGACACTGTTCTGCAGCTTTGGAGGCTGGGTTGTGTTTCAGGAGACAGATGACTCTGGGTTATCAGTGGAGGCAGAATAAGAATGTAGGACCCTGCCCTACCCTTGCTGGTAAATATTACAGAGGATATTTAAAAAAAATAAAACTTGTTAAAAAGGTTCTAGCTCCACGCTGTTCAATTCTGTAGCCACTTAGCTACATATATCTGTTGAATACTTAAAATGCGCCTAGGCCGAACTGGGATGTGCTTGAGGTGTATAATACACACTGGATTTCAAAACTTTGTATATAAAAAAAGTAAAATGTATCTCTAATATTTTTATATTGAGTGCATATTGAATTATTTTCATCACATTGCATATTGAATATAATGTGTTAAGTAAACTATATCAGCAAGACTAAGCCTCACCTGTTTTGTTTTGTTTTTTACTTTTTTCAATGTGGCTGCTAGAAAATTTATAATTATGCCTGTGGTCCCCACGTGTTTTTGTTGGACAGTGCTGATCTAGAATACTTGCTAAGTGTGTAGTTTAAAATCCTCTGCAGCTTGGGTTGGGGGATGGGGGTGTTATTGTCACCTGGTGACAGTTATAAGGAAAGAAATACATGACTCTGCTATCAAATTAATTGCCAAACTAGATAGATCTCTTAAAAACATAAAATTTAATAAGAATATGATTTAAAGAATAACATTGAGTTTCTGGCTTGAGGAGTTGAATTTGAAAGGTACATTCAAACAAGGGTTTGCTTTTTTGCTTTCTTTAGTTTTAGGACAAATGGAAAAAAAGTTATAAATGCAATCATCGGCATATAATTTTGCCCACTACCCCGTCCCTCAAGTGAAGATTTGACATTTCTGTTGGCTTTGCTTTTACTTTCATTCATGTCCTTCAGATAAATTGTGACTTTCACAATAAAACAGTGGTGTTTGTCTTTCTCTTTCCCTTTCTCTTGCCTTAAACATCTTGTGCCTTCTCTCCCCATCCCCTTCTATCCCCTCTCTCTTTCTCTTCTCCCTCTCTCTCTTTTATTTTCTCTCTGCTTTCAGGTTTGCAGCCTCAGGACAAAAGCAAGGATCTGTACTGGTTTTAGACAGCCCACCTTCCTCCCTGTAGGTCTCTGCCTAGTGCACTTGGTGACACAGAGCTGAATCGAGTTGGTTTGTAACAGCTTCTGATCTTGGTTTGCAGCTCGTCGCTATTCGCTCTGTGGTGCATCCCTCCTGAGCTGACCTGCTGACCCAGGGCTCCCCTTTCCCTTTCCCTTCTGACCAGCCAGAAGGCTCAGCATCTGTGCCTCTCACTGCAAGGATGAGGACACGGGGAAAGGCAGAGACTTCGAACTTCTCCCTGTGTGGGGAAAACCAAAACAAACATCTCAGAAATTTCATCTAAAAATAATTCCTTCTGCCAAAAGAGCAGATCCAAAGACTCTGAATTATGTTTAATGACTTTTGGGTAAATCACTGGAAATATTTGTGGTGAGATCACTTAGGTGATATGATATCATAAGTTTTCTTGGAAGGAGGGAAAGAAAAAAGGACTTTATGGTGTGAATATTTTTTATGCTGATGTGAATTATTTCATTAAGTAGTGTGATCGTAGCACTACTGATGTCAATATCCCCGGATTTAAAATGTATTTGTATTTGCATTGAAGACTGGTAGAGAAGTTAAAAGAAGGCGATCATTCTTCCTCACCTTGGTAGCCTCCAGCTCCCTTCCTGCCCACTCCCTTCCTACAACCCCGACTCCAGGCACAAAGACACACTTCTTTTCTTTGGATTGTGAACATGGAAACCTCAGCCTGAATGTGAGTGGCAAGTAGCTCATGAGGAACCACCTGCCCAAGTCTTATTGAAATGCAGCTGTTGTAGGACAACTGTTTAAAACTCCAGAAATACATCGACCAAGGTGGCACTTCCCAGTGTTTGGCACAACAATTGCAATTGCACTGGATATATTTTATATGTGTGTGTGTATATATCATATTTTTTACAAGGAACATTTTACAATGAAAGAAGAAACCCTGTTCTGCCTTCTTTCCCACAAATTCTGTCCCTTGCTCTTTCCTCCCCTGGATGAAAACAAAAGCATCAAGAGACCCCAACTGTCTCCATGAAGAAGTAGAAATCAGCTCAAGGGAAAGGAATGTTCCATGGAGTCTCCAATACCTCGGATACTTTTCTCAGTCTCTATGGTCATGACTTGGTCACTTTAGTGTTGGGACAGGGGAAGGGGTCTGTGCATGGGAAACGCTGAAGGTGATGAGGAAGAAGAAACAAACATTAAAGGTATCTGTTTACTACAAGGTCGCTGTGTTGTTTCATAAAAAGAAAATACCTGTCTTCTTTTTTCTGTAGTGGAATAAAATAATTTATAGTAGTTTGATCTGATGTCAGAAAATAATATTACTATATCTTTTGTTTATATATATAGTACTTTTTGTTTTTCCAAAGTGTTTGCTGTGCTGTGAAACCTGTTAACCTCTCTACTCTGACACGAAGCCTGAGATGAGAAGTTAGGTGTCTCCCTTCTGTTTTACAAAGCAGAAAATTAGTCATGGCCACGGCAGCCCAGCACTGATGGAGTCAGAAACAGAGATAGTACAGAAAGCACTACCCCATATGCCATTTAGTGAGAGACATATTTATTCTTCTCCAGAAAAGAATTATTGTTACTTCTTAAATTCTAGACCCTTAAGACAGCAGAGTCATTGGTTGGCAAGTATCTTTGAAATATTGGTAATTTTTATATTTTAATAAACTAGGCTAAGAAACCAAAGTTACAACTAGGGGGAGAGAGAGAGAGAGAGAGAGAAATAGAGAGCGAAATTGATAGTTTTCTCAAAATGCCAAAATTATTCATGTATCTCTGAGAGAGATAGTTTGTGTTATGCCCAAATTGCCCTTGCAGATTGTTAAGGCATAAAAATATTATTAGAGATATTAACCTTCACTGTAACATGAGAGGCAAATATAATTTATCTTGAATAATAGTCTCAAGAGTTGGGGGCAGTTAAGGAACCTTACTCAGAGCACGACTTAACAAAGTTACCCATCCTCTCTCCCTACTGTGTTAGTAGGCTGTGAAGTCAATTATGCTTATTACAAGGACCTATTTTTGTGTTTGCTCAGATGGAAGGTACTATGTAATTATACTGCATGAGATGTGTTAACAATAGTAATAACTAATGTTAATTGTTTTTCATATACCAGGCACTTGTCTGAGGGCTTTATATATAGGTCAGGTCATTAAAGCCTCATAACAATTCTATGTGATATTTATTATTATGATTCCCTTTATAGTGACAAGAAAACTGAGGCTCACAGAAGAGAAATAATTTGCCCAGTCTCATAGCTAGTCAGTGGCAGAGCCAGGATACCAGCCCAGGCAGCCCAGATGCAGAGACTGCACCACTACCCACTGCAGTAACTGCTTGTATACTTGCCATTTGTCTCTGACTTTTCAACTGTGGGCTTCATTTCTCCTCCCCAATAGATGACTAAGGCAGGGAAGAAGCAGGGCAGCAGAAAGACTGACACACTGTAGAGCTTGTGGAATCCCAGATGAACCATCTGAAATGAACTATCATAGGTCAATGTCCAGACCCTTCATCAGATGCCACTACCTGTAGACCAGTGAGATGCAGTCTCCATTCTTCTCCAAGAGGAAATTATAATTGCTACTCTTCATTCATTTCAGTATTGCATTAGCCTTCACTGCTCTGAAGTTCTTCACACCCAACCTAACCAAGTCGTGTAAGAGTTAGCCTGAAGTCTGGACATTGAAGTAATAGCTAAAATTAACTTTGGACATCTCTGTGGATATTTTTTTAATCCATGTTCCATTGGCATGGATCGCAGCAATATACAAGCATGAGTAAAATGCATTAAGTTCCAGCTCACTTTTTAGAAGTTGTCACTGAGTGGAAGCAGAAAGCACAGCAGGGCATTCTCCGCTAGACATCTCCAAGTGGTCCTCACAGAAAGAGGCTCTTTCCCTGTGCTGCACCTGTGGGAGCACTCACGAGATCTCTGATCAGAACCCTCTGGGAGCATTTTCCCAGCCACAAGACTCTGATTACTGAAAACTCTCTCCTGAGCTGCATCTGAGCTGAATATCAGGTTGCTGGTGAGGAGACTCATTCATTGGAACTGGCCTTTGCGGCAGTCCTGAACAGACCACTACTGAGCGGGGCTCCAGCGACCAGGCACATAGGACACACGGAGCAGAGCATTTCCTTCCATGGTATACGTTCCTAAAGTAGAAATGAAGATGACCTCTAACTATAATGATTCAGTGTAATGAGAGCATCAAAGAGAATTTTGGGTAATTAATAACCCTCACTGTCATTCTTTAGGTCCACCAAGTCATGAAAATATGAATTCCCCTGCCTGTCTTGCTAATATTCATAAAACCATTCAGATTAGAGAAGGCCCTAGGGCTGAAGGAAGGGCATTCAAGGAAATGAGACATGAGAAAAGCATGGCATGTGAAAAGGCAAACATGATATTTTTACCTAGATTGTACCTGGTTGGGGGCCTAAGAGAATGATTAGATTCTCCTCTGATCATCCCCATTGGGATCTTCTGTGTCCTCCTCATCCAGTGTTTTCTTTGCACTTGGCCTCACTGGCTGAGGGAGAGGTGATGAAAAGGGGAGAGACAGCTCTCCGCCACCAAGTAATCCTTTTGCCGATTGCCCTCTGGCTGAGAACTCAGTCCCCCAACTATGGGGAACTCTATCTGTTCTCCTTTAGTTTGAAAGGAGTTGCCATCCTGTCTCCTTTCCCCTTTGAAGTTCTATTTCAATGGATGGCAAATTCTAGCAATGACTTAAGAATCATCTGGGCCCGGATGGAAGAGAGGGCTGGAGGGGTGGGTGTTGGGACTCAGACTCCCCGACCGGAAGCCTCTCTGGCCACTCTTTCTGGGTAAGTACTGCATTTTCTCCCATTTTGCATCAGAGGGAAACAACTCTTAAGGTAACCTTAACCTGCAGTTCACTTAGAATCACAAACCCTGTCCCTGTGTGTAGGTACCTATAATCTAGCAAAATAAACAAGGAGCTCTTTTTTTTTTTTTTTTTTTAAAGCACTCAGTGATTGGTTACTTTGGAGATTGAGGACATGAAAAAGAAAACCTAGACAACTGCTTTCCATATAAATGCCATTTCCATAAAATGCATTTTTAAGTGTAATTCTTCAGGTGTCAAAGCATGGAAGAAAAATAGAAAGATGTTTGAAAGACTTAAAATAAACAAAACTGGAAAATATTATGACTCCTTTATAAAACTGCTTGTAGTCTGTTGATAATTTGCATGTAAATAATTCACATTTTGATTGTTCTTGTAAGTCTTTGCTGGATATAGCCCATTCTTTCTTGCAAGATTTTTAGGATTATTAGTATTCATTATCTATTATGTATTCCTAAATCTAGAGAAAAGGAATAATGCTGTAAAGGCAGAATGGTTATTACAGTTGCTGTCTATACTTAATGAAAGTTTTGATATTAATGCAAGCAACAGGGTTAAGCAAATGTAAATTTCACATTTTCTCAACACCAGCTCTCTCTCATCTCCCATGAATAAAAGAAATGGAACTCTAATAATACAAGTACAGTAGGTGCACAATAAAATCTATTTACCTACAAATCACGCACACACACACACACACACACACACACACACAGACACAGACACGTGCAGGCCCGAAGAGAAATCAGAGAACCATGCCCTCAGACAGGCACAGACACAAATGATTATTCTCACTTGACAGACCAACTGTACTGCTCTTTCCTTGTATTTCACTGCAGCCCAGAGGCTGGATCAGAAGAGAGACACTTGATAGCTGCTGTTTCCGTGGTTGAAATATTTGTGAAGTTAACGCATAATCTGAAAGCAGAAGCTAATAAATTATAGGGTGCTAATTGGAACTGGAATGGACCTGTCAATCATGTTATCCTAAACACAGAGAGACCCTCATAACCTAAAAAGGCAAGGCAGCCTTCAGGAACAGCTCCCAGTTGTCTCTAGCCTTGACCTCCACTCCAGCAGAAACATCACGTCCAGGCAGAGTGGCCACTGGCAGAGTCAGCAGACGTGATTCTGCTCATCGAAGCTCACTTCAAGAAAACACATACATTCTCTTTCAGGGGGAAGGAGTAAACTATTTAACTGAAGAATAATGTGTAGAGCAACATATAGTGTTTAGAGAAATATATCTATCAGAACAGTTTTTACTTTGGTAAAACGTTACCTTTTATTTGGAATTTTTCACTTAAAAAAAGTTTAACTCAATTAAGAAAAAATATCTAAGTTCTTCACAATATAATGTCACTTTAAATTACAGTATTTCTATGAGTTTCCAATGTACTTTTATGAAACTAAGCTCCTTACAACAAAATAAGATGTCCAGATTCCCCTGCCTTACTGGAATTCATTTATCTCACCCAGAAAAGCAGCAGCAGCGAATTTCCTGTTCCCTTGTTTTGTTCTTAGGACCTCCTAGTGAGCTCTCATTCTGCTTACCTCCCAATGCCTCAAAATCATCCAAGTGATTTTGCTCAAACTATCCTCCACTGTCATCATTATTTCCACTTCTTATCAAAACAGCATAAATAAATAAATGCAAAATTATCACAACATAAGAGAAATTTAGGTTAAGTTAAACTAAACTTTGCAAAACAAAACTAGAGAATAAAATTTTCTGATTCGCAATCAATATTTGCATGACTCTAATGATCTAGTTACCAATTAGAAATTTTACCAACATATATTTTCAGAGTACATACTTGAGTCTGTACATGTATTTACAACTACTAAAATATTCAATTAACCTTGTTATTTGGAACCTTCTTTACAATACTTCAAATAAAAATAGTTTTCACTTAGGAAGAACAAGTCAAATATCTTGAAAGTCTATGCACACATTTGCTCAAAACAACAATTATAATGGATGGGACTGTCACAAGCTTATTTCTTTTCCTGCTAATTCTCATTACTACAGCCTTGCCCTCATTTTTTTGGTAACTGTGTGATTGGCCCTGTGCCAATAATGGTATTATTGAGAAATGGAATGGAAAACAAAACAAAAACTATTTTTGGTTATTGCAGTTTATTTTTATGACATATAATCCTATTTCTTTTTTCTTCTTCCACTGCATTTTACCTAATGTGTAATCTATTCCAGAAAACTATTGGATATTTTTTCCTCTAGTATTATATGATTTTTTCCTGTACCTAATTCTATATAGAATTTTCTGGTGTCTCTGGAAGCACTACCTAAAAGTTCTGTCTTATTAGTAC